AAAACCCTCTTATAGTGTCAAGGTTTATTAAATATGGTTTTCTGTGGGCGAGCAGATGGCGACCACTGGATGGCATATGTTCTGTATTGGAAACTAGAGATGATGTGGTTTATCCAATGCAATTTTCTGAATCAGCACCCCAAATAACCAAACCAAATCTAAAGTTGACCAAAAATTGATTTTGGTACTAAAGTCGGAGAGAGATTCCTGGTCAAAGTGATCCCTGGTTAAAAAAGAAAAGGTTGGGAACCACCATGTTAATCAAATCCTCAAATAAAATCCAACTAAAAATAAGTGCACAAATGTGGAGGGCTGACTGTATTTCAAATATGTGAACACTCTAGATGTTATGAGGACGTTAATCTACAAAATTGTAGGACGAAAAGAAGGTGGAATGAGGGCTAGCTATCATACTCTGGAACAGGACTTGTCTACATACAAGATGGTCAGAGTGCTTGATACCATTATTTCTTTGAAGTGTGGACAGTGGACCCTCCTTACTGAGCTGTGGCTGGAGATGTGTCTCTAAACAGAGGGAGGCTGAGAGAGGGTAGCTTATAACAGGTGGAGCCATGACCCCTATCAGATAGAAGGAAACAGTGCCTGGAGGTAGCTTTTAAACTGCTCTACCTTTTAGTGGGATGGAGTTACTGTGCTCCTTGTCTTTAGGCAGCACAGTGAACCCCGTAGGAGATTGAATGGTGGAGGGGGGGGGCATTGGGAGCTGCATACGATGCGTTTTGGAAGCCCACAACAGAATCTGAGCAAGATAGCACCCTCTTAACTTCTCCATTAATTAGTATTTAGAGACACAGTCCTCTTGCATGAATAATATGAAATTATTATGTCAAAATCTAAAGCTATCATAGTTAGAAGTCATTGATATTTTTATCATACATGAATTTGTCTAATACTCTTTTAAAGCTTGCCAGCATCACTACTCCCTGCATACCTAATTTTACGTATTAACTATGCACCAATATGACTTGTGTGAAGAAGTCTTTCCTTTACTGTTTTATAAATCTACCATTTTACTTAGAATCATAGAGTTGGAAGAGACCTCATGGGCCATCCAGTCCAACCTCCTGCCAGAAGCAGGAAAATCACATTCAAAGCACTCCTGACAGAAAGCCATCCAGTCTCTGTTTAAAAGCCTCCAAAGAAGGAGCCTCCATCACACACCGGGGCAGAGAGTTCCACCGCTGAACAGCTCTCACAGTTAGAATCATAGAATTGGAAGAGACCTTGTGGGCCATCCAATCCAACCCCCTGCCAAAAAGCAGGAAAACCACATTCAAAGCACCCCCAACAGATGACCATCCAGCCTCTGTTTAAAAGCCTCCAAAGCAGGAGCCTCAACCACACTCTGGGGCAGAGAGTTCCACTGCTGAACAGCTCTCACAGTTAGGAAACTCTTCCTCATATTCAGGTGGAATCTTCTTTCCTGTAGTTTGAAGCCATTGTTCTGTGTCCTAGTCTCCAGGGCAGCAGAAAACAAGCTTGCTCCCTCCTCCCTATGACTTCCCCCACATATTTATACATGGCTATCATGTCTCCTCTTAGCCTGCTCTTTAAGCTGCTCCTCATAGGGTTGTTCTCCAGATCCTTGCTCATTTTAGTCACCCTCCTCTGGATACATTCCAGCTTGTCACTTCATTGGATATTGCAAGATTCTTAGAGAAGCCTGACCCTTCCTCTACACCACCTATTCCACATACTCAATGTGTATGTATATGTGAACATGTGTTCATATGAATGTTATCCATCCCTCTAATCATCCCTTTTTAATAAGCTTCCTCTTGCTTCTCTTCTACCTGCCTGTTTACATGCTGAAGAACTGGCTGACTGAAGAAAGGATAAGGTTTCTTAGGTTACACACTTTCTTCTAGCCCAGCACCTTATTCAGTGCTATATACGTATATAGGGAAATCTATGTGCCTTGTCAAGAAGAAACAGCAACATGTTCTCTTCTGAAAATGCTAATGGTCTCATTCCTCATTTAGGAATGCTGAGTTCTGTGATAAAGATTCTTTCCCCCTGAAAGAAGCAAGTCTGCTTTTGCTGCCAAGTCTTATACTCAATGAAAAGCAGCAACCAATTATGATTTTTCAGTTAGTGCATCTGTATGATACATGTGTTTGTCACAGTCATATTTTTACCCTTCTGGAGGTGGCAAAATTCTGCAGTTCCTAAGCTACAGTTCTATGCATTCTTAAACTGTGTAGGATAAAATTCCATCTAAGGGAATGGAATTTGCTTCCAACTAAACATGTGGGAGATCAGTCTATTAGGTATTGTCCCCCACCAATATTAAGATAACTTTTCATAATTATTTTTCATTACACATCCCATTCTGCAAACACATAGTTAATGAAAAACATCTGTGAATTTTCGTTTGTCGATAGTGTGTGCACTGATGTTCCACATACACCATTGTGTTATATGTTGCACTGAATCATTATTATGTTTATTTGGGTTCATTTCAAACTTTTATATAATGTCTTCCTTTTAGATCTCAGGGTGGCAAACTAATTATCACAGTGTAACTGAAATAATAAAACACAAATAAGATTCTGAAAACAATAATCATTTAGGCACTAGGCAACCCACTTTTGTGAAATTGCACAACCAGGAAATCTTTGTTGTTAACACAAAGGGACCTTAATTTAGGGAAATGTGCCTGTCAGGTCCCTCATCCTTTAGGGCAGCTTTTCCCAACCTGGTGCTCTCCAGATATGTTGGATTACAACTCCAAAATCTTCAGTCAAAAAGGATACCACATTGGGAATCAATGTGTGATTTGGTAAGTATTAATGGAGGAAAATAGTATCTATATCTTAGTTCAGCAGAAAGCCAAAATCAAGGTTACAACAACATCTGTTATAGAACTCCAATATGCTGATGACAATGTCATCAGCATAATCAGAAGACCTACAAGCACTTTAAACACCTTCACAGAAGCATACAAGAAGCTCGGCCTCTCATTGAACATCGAGAAAACCAAAGTGCTCTTCCAGCAGGCACCAGCCTATCCGTCTGCAATGCCAGAAATACAGCTTAATGGTATAACATTAGAAAATGTTGACCATTTCCACTACCTTGGCAGTCAGCATTGACATTGAAATACAACACCGCATGAGCTCTGTGAGTATTTCCTTGCCATAAACAAGCGGTTTCCTTGGCATTCTAAACTGCTTCAGTCTTCAGCTTCAAGATGCTGCATAACCACTCCCAGCAACAGCCAAAGGTTTCTTCAGCTCACAACGAGCCATCAAGCTAAGCCAAAATGCAAAACTAAAAGCTTGCAAACTAATGCCTTGATATATGCAGCAACTGATAACACACCCAATTAACTTGTGGCAACTATATCAGAAAAGGTTCTGATCCTCCCTGTTACTTAGAAAAGACCTATTGTAAACCCCTAGTAGCAACATACAATTCCTCCCACATCAAAGAAGTAAGCCAAACTGGCAAATCACCATACATATAGAATGCAGGCTAACAATTATATACATTAACCAACAGTTAGTGGAGGCTTGGAAGGTTGCTGTTTCCCAAGGCAAAAAGTTTGCCCATGCCTGATCTAAGGACCCAAACTAGGTAAAAATTAAAGAGCACTGACCACCATGTAAATAAAATTATAGTTGGCTCTCAGATTATCTGTCCATGGATTTAACCTCTCTTTGAAGTCAACCATGAGGCTGTTGTGGCCCTTGATGAAAATGCGTTTGACACCCCTGGCATAGGGAGAAAGAATACTGTCTTCTTAATCTGCATTAGCCCTCAGGTGGAACTCTCTGGTGCTTTGTGCTCTCCAAACCAAGTGCCGGCCTCTCGCTTGCTGTGGCCTTCTCAATTGCCGCTGGCTTAAGAAGCTGGATGTCCATATAACGTTTCATGGTCAGTTGCTATGGAGACCCATTTTGATTAATTCAGCTGTCAGGAAGTCCTGTATTTATAGCATGCAGAGACATCTGGACCCTCTAGTGGATGAAAAAAGAAATCTTTCCCTCTTGAAAGAAGATTTTGTACATAATATATACACACATGGTCAGCTCCTTAACCTTAGCACATTAGTGACATTTGTGAATTGAGAGTGGAGAGTTTTCCGCCTTCTCAGATCATTTCGGGGCATCGCTCTTATTTCCAAGGGATGGATGTTGGGCTGATAACCTTGGAGCTCTAAGGCATCATTTGCCTCACGCCAGCTGCCCTATGAATTCTCCTCAGCTCAGGTTGTGAACACCTTATACGCCAATATTCCGCAACTATTTTTCATTACTGTATATCAAAGACTTTTACAGGCAATGTTTTACGATATCTGTGCATCGCGGTAGCTGTTATAACTATCTGAGCATTACTGCTTCCTTTTTTCAATAGAAGAAATGGGATTGGGAGACAGTGGGTGAATCTACCGAAGGATTTCCTTTTCCTCAAGGGAATTTCTGTGCAATGTTTCCATGTTTCCCCCCCCCCCCATAATAATTTGCATATCCATAGGATAAAATCAGTGTAAAGAATGAGAGATGCAGGATCTGTGTTCTCTAAATCTGCCATGGGCAAACTTTGGCCCTCCAGGTGTTTTGGACTGCAACTCCCACAATTCCTAACAGCCTATCAACTGTTAGGAATTGTGGGAGTTGAAGTACTAAACACCTGGAGGGCCAAAGTTTGCCAATGGCTGCTCTAAACGAATATTATGTTGTACTACATGTACATGTACGAAGCTAATTTGTGTGAAGGACACATTGATGATATTTAACTATAGGCATATTGGAGACAGTTCATCTTTAAAATGGCAGACTTGTAGGAACGAGGGAGAAAGCCTTTTCCCATCTTTGGAATTCACTACCTGGTGAGATTAGGCAAGCCCCCTCCTTAGCGGACTTCAAGAAAAACTGCTGTCTTGTTCTGAAACAGTTGTGAGGAGCTGCGATGTTAGAGGTGAGTGTCAAAAGACTTGCCAAAGCCTACCTCATGCAGTTGTCATTGATCAACAGATATTCAGTGATATCAGATGCAGACACTGAGAGCATCTTCATGGAGCCCATCCATCTTTCATCTGCTGTGGCTGCCAAGCAGATCATCAAAGAAGGTAGGAGACAGAGGGGAAAGGTAATAAAGGCAATATTCAGCTTACAAGAGGAAAAAGGTTGGTGAGTAAGTGGCTCCATTTAAGGTTACAACAAACCTCTTCCCTTACCAAAAAAAACCCCATAGCAGCATTTACAGAACCTTGTTTTCATACTTGCTTCCATATGGTATGGCTGTCCTTTCTTTGTTGATGTGATATCAAAGCTTGAAGTGTTATATTTTCCTCCTTTTCCTATTTCCAAACCAACTTTATAAAATTCAAAACAATTAAAATCTCCGCCTGACTGTTGTGACCAGGCTTTTAAACAGAGACTGGATGGCCATCTGTCAGGGGCACTTTCATTGTGCTTTTCCTGCATGGCAGGGAGTTGGACTAGATGGCCCATGTGTCTCTTCCAACTCTATGATTCTATGACGCCTAAGATGCTTTTGGTGTATTCTATGGCTTTACTTTACTTACTTAGGCGATCCCTCGTTGTCTGAGTATGATGACCTCCCAAGGGTTTTATTTTTTCTTGGAAGACACCTGTGCTTGAGTTTTTTTTAATATGTTGAGGTTGGTGCACAGCCGATCAACACACAGTCTTCACAGAGTGAGGGTTCCAACCAGTGGCATGGTTAACATGGTTAGTGGTATAGTACAATATAGTAATATATAATACTATTATTATGCTATGCTAACAATTATAATATATTGTATGTACATATAATACTGATCATAATATTGTAATACAATATAATAATAATACAATATAGTAATATAGTAATTATATATTTTATATTACATGTATCATTACTAATAATATTGCAGTATAGTGGTATAGTACAATATAGTAATATATAATACTAATATTGTGCTATGCTAATAATATAATATATTGTATGTATATATAACTTGTAAGCCACTGAGTCCCCTTCAGAATGTGAAGGGTGGGATATAAATGTTTTAAATAAATAAATAATAAATAAACATGACGATGGTGGCTTCTCAATTTGTTGCAGCCTTTTTCCGCTTTCACAGCCATTGTAACATGTACCATGTTATCTTCCACCTGATCCGCCATTGAAGTCTTCAGGTCTTCGGATTGTGCTGAATTCTATGACTACTGTATATTTCATTAGTAGCTTTCTATCCAATGCCTTCCTGTTTCTCATGGCAGCAGAATGACTGGTTGATTGCGTTCGAACTATGCCTTCTTATTAGTCAGTTCTTGTTACCTGAGATATCTAGTGATTTCCTCTCATTTAAAAATATTGCAAAATGAGATATATTAATTTCTCTCCCATCAAAGGTGTGACAGATTGTAGATCAATTGGCTGCAGTAGGGGATGAAAGTACTTTACAGAGGCTTGTGTAACAAAATGTATGCTAGCCCAGCATCCCACAGAGCTACAGCTATTACCTTTCTCTGTGGTCGATTAATTTGATTAATTAAAGTGTAATTATGAGTTTGTTAGCAATTTGCTGAACACAAAACAAAAGCTGCAAGGTGCAAGTTTTTTGTTAAAGCCAAGAAACAGGGTATAGTGATAAGTTATAAAAGAGTCTTGGCCATGGGAAATAACACTGCTGAACAAAATGGCCCTATGTTATGTACCTCATGGACATGCCATTTAAATTCTACTTTCTGTAATGGGAGAAAAAGTTCCACATCATCACTGAAGGGGCTTAGTGTAAAAGACATTTAAGTTCTAAAAACAATCTTTCAATAGAGTACTTGAGCTATATATCATTTGTCTTTTGCTAGCAAAAATACCAATTTTTAAAAAATCAATTTATTTCCATAGAGTTGGAAGAGACCTCATGGGCTATCCAGTCCAACCCCCTGCCAAGATGTAGGAAAATGGCATTCAAAGCACCCCAGACAGATGGCCATCTAGCCTCTGTTTAAAAGCCTCCAAAGAAGGAGCCTCCACCATACTCCGGAGCAGAGAGTTCCACTGCTGAACAGCTCTCACAGTTAGAAAGTTCTTCCTAATGTTCAGGTGGAATCTCCTTTCCTATAGTTTGAAGCCTTTGTTCCATTGTTCCCTAGTCTCCAGAACAGCAGAAAACAAGCCTGCCCCCTCACCAGTGCACTCTTTCTTATCCACCCAACACCCAAACACCCTATTATTATTATTATTATTATTATTATTATTATTATTATTATTATTATTATTACTATTTGATACACAACAAGATTAGTACACAGCAAACAAAATCACTGCGCTGGCTTTTGTATTTGATCACAGGTGAGATACTACCCAAGTGCCTAAGACTGTGATATAATAATGTGTGCAGATCCAAGTAGGGTGGCCTTTTGCAGCTGACAGATGGTAATTTTGCCAGCACCAATTGTTTTTAAGTGCAGGCCAAGGTCTTTAGGTACTGCATCCAGTGTGCCGATCACTGGGACCACCTTTACTAACTTGTGCCAGAGTCTTTGTAGTTTTATCTTTAAATCTCATATTGTGTAAGCTTTTCGAGTTGTTTCTCAACAGTTCTGCTGTCAACTGGGATTGTTGTTRTTRTTATTATTATTATTATTTGAAACACAACAAGATTAGTACACAGCAAACAAGATCACTATGCTGGTTGTTGTATTGGATCACATGTCGGACACTTCCCAAGTGTCTAGGACGATATGATGTATTGGCGAATAATGCATGYAGATCCCATTATTATTATTATTATTATTATTATTATTATTATTATTATTATTGTTAGAAACATAACAAGATTAGTACACAGAAAAAAGTCACTATGCTGGCTGTTGTATTGGATCACACGTCAGACACTTCCCAAATATTATTATTATTATTATTATTATTATTATTATTATTAGTTTATTGATGCAAAACCACAGTATGTCATAGCAAACGAGATCTATATGCTGGATTTCGTATCACAAAATCACAAGTCAAACACTTCCCAAGCGTCTAGGACTATGTGACGTATTTTCGAATTATGAGCGCAGATCCAAGTAAATGTGGTCTTTTGCAGTTGATGGATCGTGATTTTGTCGATGATGATGATGATGATGATGATGATGATGATGATGATGATTCTCTCCATCCTGATACCATTAAGCTTTTACCAGTTCTAGTTATCTTACAAAATCCTGTGTCCACTTCAAACCAGTGCTATATGTTTCCTCTTGCACTCCTCTTTTTTATGGTCTTCCCCTCCACTTTGTTATTCCTTCAGCCTCTCAATTGCCTAACTCTTCTCTTCATCATCAGATGCCAAGCGTCTCTCTCAAGGTTGTCAAATTCTAGTTTCCCAAATTTAGACGACACATTTGGAGATTATTCAAATAGTTTGCTTTTAGAAAAATCATTTGACCAGTTTTGAAATGTTGACCAGTTTGCACATAGACAAAACATTGCTAGGCAGAAACGGAAAGTGGCTTTGCTACATTTTTAGATTCTTTGCATGAACTGCAGGCTTGTACAACATCACTTCAAAGTGTTTATATACTGTGGGACCAAGCATTCAACCAGTAAATAGTACAATAAGGATAACAAACTAATGGAATTCACAATTGGATAGGCCTTGTACTGCGATCTGGATTACGTGATTTTAAATGATGTTTTAATAATTAATGTTTATTGTATGGTTTTAATTGTTTTTATATTTATATGTATTGGCATCAAATTGCTGCCTGATGTAAGCCTGCCCTGAGTCCCCTACTAGGGTGAGAAGGGAGGGATAAAAATATATGACATAAAAACACCAAATATTGCCATGAATCTTTTTCTTTGTGATGTTTGCTTTTCACAGAGCCCCTCCACTTTTAACATCTCAGGGAAATGCAGAAAGTAAAGTGATAAGGCTTTCCCAAGAATGGGGATTTCCACAAATTTTGTAGCCTTGATAAGGTAGTTGAGTATTACCTAGTATTGGTAATGTTCAGCAACAGCAGCATATTTTTATGCTCCTTTTCCATGATACAACTAGCGAGTCATCAGGAAAAAATTACATAATACAAACTGACAATAGTTTCAAATGATCCAAGGACAATTAGAATTCAAGTAATAACAATTCATACAACAGCCTAAACATCCCAGAGTAACAAATATGCACTAATATTAGATATTAAATAATCCACCAATACCATATCAACTTCATGTATAATTTTATTTATTTATTTATTTACAGTATTTATATTCTGCCCTTCTCACCCCACAGGGGACTCAAGGTGGATCACAATGTGCATATACATGGCAAACATTCAATGCTATAGACACACAACATATACAGACAGACACACAGGGGCTATTTAACTTTCCAGCTTCATGATCGAATTCCAGCCACCGGGGGAGCTGTCGCTTCACCGTCCACTTGTGACACTGATGGAGTACTTCCTCATTCTTTTGCATACTGCTAGAGATTTTTATGGCACCGTAAATTAGTTAAATTAGCCTGCCCACATAAGTGGTACCTAAATTTCCTACTCGACAGATGCAACTATCTTTTGGGCTGCAAAGGTCAACAGCAAGCTAGACAAATGGTCAGGAGCTTACTCCGACCTGGGCTGGCATCGAACTCATGACCTTTCAGTCACTCCAAACCAGCTGCGTCACACCCGGTCCATGTGTAAGTCAACCTCATGTGTAAGGGCAAGTTTTATTGCCAAAAGGAACATTTTGATGTGACTCATGGATAAGTCGAGGGTTATTCTGTGGAGAGTGGAAAGCACCAAGGCCATTTCAGGTGACCAACTGCATCTGGCCACTGCCACCATTTTGCTGCCTAGGTATTGAAAAGGGCCAGAAGTAGCATCAAGGCAGAGAGATTAGGGAAGATCGGTGCTTTTTGTAGGCTCTCCCAGGATGGACTATGCTCTTGTCTTTTGCCACTCTACTCAAAAAAGAGTGTGCAGGTACAGCTGTACCAGGAGCTCCAATTTTGTTTGCTTTGCATTGAATGTTTGTTGTAGTCCTAAGTTTCAGGGACTCTGCAGATAGGTGGCTTCTTTTGGTTGCAATCACAGGGCAAGCCACCTGTCAATTATAGTTAGGTTCCCTGGTCCCGCCCTCTTTTGGGTTTTTGGTGGGAATAGGAGCCATTTTGAGTTCAGTCCACACAGAGAAGCTTTCCATACAGGACATAATACCAAGAGCTCCTGTAGAAAGCTTCGTCTTCTACAGCTTGGCCGGGGTTACACAGCCCACAGCTTGGCCGAGGATTATACAGCTTTACAGCTCCTTTGCTGAGGGACTTCAGCCAGCCATCACCGAAACCTGAACTCCTTTTTCCTCTGGAAAGCCAGAAGCAGTTGGTACCGGGTGCAGGGGCTCCACGCCAACAGAGGCAAAGACAGACTGCCCAGATTAGAAGTTAAGGATTTCCCCATTAGTTACAGTTATGAAGATAGTGCCTGTTCCCTGTGGACAAGATTGAGAGAGAGCCAATAGACTGTTAAGAAAGCTTTGAAATACCTGTTTGTTTTCATTAATAAAGAACTTTGTTGAATCTTTAAGTATTCTAGAGACTGTGTTTTAAGGAAATCCAAAGGCCTTTAATCTGAGGCAGCCCTGGCGTCCTGTTGGGCACACAGAATTTATGTCCTGTCTACAGTCTGATGCACAGGCCCAGCGTGCGACAGCACAAAGAGAATGGTTCCTTTTTTGATAAGAGCCAAGGTACAATACTCCCATTGATCCATGAATAAGTCAACAAAATTTTGGGGGTTGATTTTTTTGGACTACACTTTTCTAGACTTACATATGAGTATATAGGATAATTCACACAAAGGTGCAATTTGAAATGTCCAAGGATAGATGCCCCTGGCATAACACCTAAAGAACACTCTATTCTTTGAGACTGGAGCCAGGGTCCTGCTTTCCGAGCCAGTTGGAAATGGTCTAGAGTAGGCTTGGGCCCAATCAGTTTATTCGGTGGTCCATTTCTTGTAATCCCCCGAAAACAGAACGGGGAGGAGAAAACCGAAAAGCTAGGCAAAACCAATCAAGAGAGCCGGATTTATCAGTGACTGGAGAGGATGGAGTTAAGTTTGCATTATACCTGAGGCAGGGGTCTGCCGTGGAGCTCCTGGAGCCAATACTGCAGCGTCTTTTCTCCCTCCCCGGTAGCAGAATTCAATCATTTAAAGTCAATTTATCTTTAAATGAAAAAAATATAGCCCTGAATTATATGCCTTCGGGGCAGAAGACTAGTACAAGTTTAGCAGTCAAGGTTTCACCGTCTGAGAAAACACACATTATTTCAAATTACTGTGGCCAGCAGTCTCTCGTTTGCATTCAGGGTGTGGCATTGGAATGCAATGCAAGCATTACTTAAGTGGCTCACTTAAAAACTAAACAAATTGTTTTTCTTCTTCCATGCAGCATAAAAGTATTTTGAATACAAGTTTAGTATCCCTTTGTGGCAGTCATCAAGAAGAAAAATAATTAGAACCTAATGAAATTAATGAAGAAGTCTTACCTTAAAGGTTTTCTTAAGGTGCGGGGGTAGAATTCTGGTGGAAGGGAAATTGACAGATGGAACAGGACTGGGACAAGGCAGGAGAAACCATATCTTAAGTAAATAAATAGAAGGATGGCTATGTGCTAAATGTGGAAGGTCAGAGAATTGGCTCTAAAAGTAAATCGATAATTATTGATCCAAGAAAAACAAACATCTGAAGATATGGTACAACAGCGCCATCTATCCTCCATCTGATGTAAATAGCAGGTAATTCAGTCCTATGAACAATAAGAATATAGGAAAATGATGTGAAAGTAATTACAGAAGAATTAATAAGGGAAATGCTTGCTTTGAATAAGTTAAAGATACATATATGAAGATGTATGGAGTCATATATATGTGTGAAGAGATATATGAAGTTAAGATTCACTTTTATGTATCTCATCTGGGAATGTGTCTGGTCAGCTGATGAAAGGGGAGCAGTGGAAATTATAATATCTTGCCAAACAAGTGTTCTTGGCTGCGATTCCTCGAGGACAAACTGATATTGATTAGATTGTGTAAATGTCAAGAGAATTATGCGCATGTGCAAACTAAGTAATTCTGCCTATAAATACTGGATGCTTTTGGGGTAGTGCTCTGTGCCACATCAGCCATGTTGAAGCTGGGGCGCCCTTACCCGGGGTAAGCAATAAATTCTGTGAACTTGCAACAGCTGTCTCTGTCTCTTCCTTCTTCGCTGATCTCTCGGAATCTTGGAAAACGGGGACACACCCGTAACACCTTATCCATAATACATGGGGCCAATAGTATTTTGGATTTTTTTTTTTTTGGATTTTGGAATACCTCTATTTGCATATACATATATAATGAGATAGGGCCCCCTGGTGGCAAAGTGGGTTAAACCACTGAGCTGCTGAACTTGCTGACCAAAAGGTTGGCAGTTCAAATCCAGGGAGCAGGGTGAGCTCCTGCTGTTAGCCCAAGGTTCTGCCAAACTAGAAGTTCAAAAACATGCAAATGTGAGTAGATCAATAGGTACCGCTTCTGTGGGAAGGTAATGGCGGTCCATGCAGTCATGCCAGCCACATGACCTTGGAGGTGTCTACGGACAACGCCGGTTCTTTCGCTTTGAAATGGAGATGAGCCCCACCCCCACCACAAAGTCAGACACGACTAGACTTAATGTCAGAGGAAACCTTTACCTTTACTATATAATGAGGTATCTTGAGAACAGAACCCAAGTCTACACATGGAATTCATCTTTGTTTCAAATACACCCTATACACATAGCCTAATTTAATACAATTTTGAAAAAATGAAAAATCACATACATTGAACCATCAAAAACAACGATGTCACTATGTCATCTATCTATGTGGACAATTATAGATTTTTGAGTATTTTGGATTTTGGGATAAGGGATGTTCAGCCCATACTATGGTATAGAAGAGTTTCCTGATATTATAGAATGATGAGGGTTATGAGTCCATACAAACTGTAGCTTGAGTATCAGTGTAACTGTATATTAAAGTAAAGGAATTGATGCTACCCTAGGCATGATGTCAGCAGTAGATAATCTCAAAATGGTATCTGCAATTATGAAATTGAAGATCTTCATTCATTTCAGAATTGAAGACAAAGGAAGTGAAGGTAGATACTACATGTCCTGGAATGCTGGAATCTGCAGAGCAGCTATTGGTGGAAGACCTGTACAATCGAGTGAAGGAAAAGATAGATGACACCAGTCTTTTCAACACACCTTGTGTCATGGACTTGCAGAGGGCACTTGTGAAAGACCGCCTTGAGTCCCCAAGGGATTCTATTGATGAAGTCTGGCCCAATATCTTTATAGCAGAAAAGTAAGTAGGATTCTCCCTTCCTCCTTGAATAAAAATCCGAAATATGAGTTTCTCAAGTTATGTTGTATAAAAAGATTAATAACAACAGCAGTAGCAGCAGCAGCAGCAACAACAACAACAACTCTGGGACTTCCGAATTCAGATACAGAGTTTTGGAGCACAATACTCCTGACCTCACGATCGTGTTAAAAAACAAAGTATGGATTGTTGATGTTGCAATCCCAGGTGACAGCAGGATTGTAGAGAAACAACTGGAAAAGCTAACACAATATGAGGATTTAAAGATCGAACTGCAAAGACTCTGGCACAAGCCAGTCAAGGTGGTCCCAGTGTTGATCGGTACACTGGGTGCAGTGCCTAAAGACCTTGGCCTTGCACTTAAACACAATTGGTGCTGACAAAATTACCATCTGCCAGCTGCAGAAGGCCACCTTACTGGGATCTCCACGCATTATTCACTGATACATCACACAGACCTAGACACTTGGGAAGTGTTTGATCCAAGACAACAGCCAGCAGAGTGTCTGCTGTGGACTCATCTTGTTGTGTTTCAAATAATAATAATAATAACTTTCTTTGTGTATCCCGCCTCCATCTCCCCAAAGGGACTCGGGGCGGCAAATATGGGGACAAGCCCAATCAACATAGTTTAAAATATAACACAATGAAATTCATAAAACAATATCACAAAACAGTATGAAATAACCATCAAACAACAACAATAGCCTGACATAGTAAATAATTTCTGTGCTTGGGAAGTGGGCTGATTCAAATCAGTTACAGGGACAGGGCTGATGGATAAAGTGCAAAATCCAGATGACAGATTAGAAGGGCAATATGAAGTAGAACACTATATCTATAGTTTGTTGTAGGTTTTTTCAGGCTATATGGCCATGTTCTAGAGGCATTCTCTCCTGATGTTTCGCCTGCATCTATGGCAAGCATCTTCAGAGGTAGTCTGTTGGAACTAGGAAAATGGGTTTATATATCTGTGGAATGACCAGGGTGGGACGAAGGACTCTTGCTCCTATTATTATTATTATTATTATTATTATTCTGACACAAAAACACAGTATGACACAGCAAACAAGATATACATGCTGGATTTCGTATCACAAAATCACAAGTCGAACACTTCCCAAGTGTTTAATAAATTTGTTGTTGTTGTTGTTGTTGTTGTTGTTGTTGTTACAAAGGCTGGGTGGCTATCTGTTGGGGGTGCTTTGATTGTGCTTTTCCTATATAGCTTGAGGGGGTTGGACTGGATTGCCCCTGGGTTGCTCCTGTTGTTGTTGTTGTTGTTGTTGTTGTTGTTACAAAGGCTGGGTGGCTATCTGTTGGGGGTGCTTTGATTGTGTTTTTCCTATATAGCTTGAGGGGGTTGGACTGGATGCTCCTATTATAATATGCTGGGGGTGCTTTGTGTCAAAAAGTTTGCCCATTCCTGATATATATACATTATATATAACATAACATAACATAACATAACATAACATAACATAACATAACATTAACATTAACATTAACATTTCTTGGGGCTCCACAAGAAACTTTTGCTTCAAAAAGGGATCCATAGCTGAAAAAGTTTGAAAACTCCTGACCTAGAGGACCACCTTCTCCCCTTTGAGCCTACCTGTTTGTAGGATCATGGGGGAGAATCTTCCTGTTTTGTCCATAGTACGGCCATCCCATTGTAAGCTGAAAGAGGAGTTTTCCTATGGTTTTAAACTCTTGCCACTGGAGGTGCATTTGCTCCCCTCCCTGTCTGGCCAATACATTTTTATTCTGTTAGCATTTGACCTGTCACATTAATGCACTTTTAGCAGACTACCCTCTTCTTTTAGATGTGTTTGTATAGCTTATTCCTGTCCCTGAGGTCCTTTGTTCTATTGTAATGCTTTTCTGAATGGATTTTATAGCAGTTGTTTTAAATTTTGCTGCTGGTCTCTCTGAGTAGTGTGGTTACAATAGAGAGCCAGGATATAAATCTGCTTAACCAAAATAAAATACTTGTGAAGTATCTGAAAAAGAGAAGGCACATTATAACATTTTGTACTCCATCAGATATTTAACACACCTTGTGAATCTGCTCTATTCTCTGCATTTCTTATCCCGCTTTGACCATCTGAAAAATAGATCACACATAGTGCAGGTTGTAAAAGTTTTCTGGGTCTGTACTGATTCCCATTAGGGTGTCATCAGCCAATTCTCTGTTGTCGGTGTTCTGGTTATAAGATTAGCTTTGAAATACTCAAGATATAAGCCAGTATCCCATCTCTCTTCCTTTGCCTTGAAGGAGTGTTGCAGTCAACAAAGGCCGCCTAAAGAGAATAGGAATTACACATATCCTGAATGCTGCTCACGGCACTGGTGTGTATACAGGACCAGACTTCTATAATGGCATGGAAATCCAGTACCTGGGCATCGAGGTAGATGATTTCCCAGATATGGACATCTCTAAACATTTTCGCCAGGCTGCAGAGTTCCTTGATGAAGCATTACTAACCTATAAAGGTAAATAAGCCAAACAGTGCTCTTTATTTCATTATCATTTGTCAATTACCATTGTCATTATATAAACGAATAATATTGTGCTGTCTTTCAAACAGTTTTTTAATGCTTTGATAATCTTTTGAAAGGAGCCCCAGTGGTGCAATGGGTTAAACCCTTGTGCCAGCAGGACTGCTGACCAAAAGGTCGATGGTTCGAATCCGAGGAGCAGAGGGAGCTTCTTTCTGTCAGCTGCAGCTTCCCATGCAGGGACATGAGAGAAGCCTCCCACAGGATGGTAAAACATCCAGGCATCACCTTGCAGACGGCCAATTTTCTCACACCAGAAGCAACTTGCTGTTTCTCAATCCACTCCTGACATGGGAAAAAATCTTTTGAAAATAGTACGATGACACACACTGGGAAGATAGAAACTAGATATTTCTAAGTTTTTCTCTAAGTAAAAATGGGAAACATGTGAAATTCAAAAACATTTAATATCAGTAAGGAGGAAGAATTTATTTTTCTCTTACACACACGCAAACCACTACCACTATCGGTTTTTTAGCATAATTCATGAACTAGGGAAGATTTGATTCTTCCACCATCTGATGAAACATCCAAACTTGTAACATGAATTTGAAGATAATATTATAAGGAGATATTGCACAAAATTTTGTTTTCTGAAGTTGTCTTTTATTTTATTTATCACTAAGACTAACCTTGGCAGGCACTAAGAACTGTTGGGTTGCTGTGAATTTTCCAGGCTGTATGGCCATGTTAAGAAGCATTCTCTCCTGATGTTTTGTCCACATCTATGGCTGCCATCCTCAGAGGTTATGAGATTTGTTGGAAACTAGGCAAGTGGGGTTTATTGGGCACCTTTATTAGCATTGAATAACCTTGCAGCTTCAAAAATTGGCTGCTTCCTGCCTGGGGAAATCCTTTGTTGGGAGGTGATTAGCTGGCCCTGATTGTTAATTGTCTGGAATTCCCTGTTGTTTGAGTGTTCCTCTTTATTTACTGTCCTGATTTTAGAGGGTTTTTTTTTAAATACTGGTAGCCAGATTTTGTTCATTTTTATGGTTTTCTCCTTTTTGTTGAAATTGTCCACCTGCTTGTGGATTTCAGTGGCTTCTCTGTGTAGTCTGATGTGGTGGTTGTTAGAGTGGTCCAGCATTTCTGCATTCTCAAATAATAATACTGGCTACCAGTATTTAAAAAACTCTAAAATCAGGTCAGTAAATAAAGAACTACACTCAAAAACAGGGAAATTCCAGACAAGAAACAATGAGGGCCAGCTAATCACCTCTCAACAAAGGATTACCCCAGGCAGGAAGCAACCAAGCTTTGAAGCTGCAAATCTATTCAATACTAACCAAGGTGAGCAATTGCAACATTCACACTTGCCTCAAACAGACAAGTTTTTTTCTCCCACCCTGGACATTCCACAGATATATAAGCCCCACTTGCCCAGTTTCCAAAAGACTTCATAACCTCTGAGAATGCCTGCCATAGATGTGGGTGAAACGTCAGGAGAGAATGCTTCTTGAACGTGGCCATACAGCCCAGAAAACTCACAGCAACCCAGTGATTCTGGCCATGAAAGCCTTTCAGAGCACATTAAGAACTGTTTTTTGGTTTGGAAACTAATTCTGAAATATCCTAGTTACCCCTGAGAATAATTGATCACCTGTATCATTTACTTCTAGGAAAAGTTTTAGTCAGCAGTGAAATGGGAATCAGTCGCTCAGCAGTGCTGGTAGCTGCTTACCTGATGATCTTTCATCACATGACAATCTTGGAGGCCTTGATGACTATACGGAAGAAGCGAGCCATATATCCTAATGATGGTTTCTTGAAACAGCTAAGGGAACTCAACGAAAATCTTTTGGAGGAACGACAAGAAGACATTGAAGAAGATACTGATGACACAAGTAGCCAAAGTTCTGTGGTTAGAGCTGGAAGCTGTTCCTTGTTGTCTGAGAGAGGGAATTCTGGCAGTATCATGGGAGCCAAAGTCCATTCTATCACAGTTGAGGAGGATGACACCACAAGCCTCCTGGGAAGTGTAATGAGTGCTTCTTCTATGGGAAAATCAAGCTTGGTTTCCAAACAGCCTACTCTAATCAGTGAAGAAGAAGAGGAGGAACTCTATGAAGAATGGAGGAAAAAGCAGGGCCTGCCTGCCAGGGAACTTCCAAATAAAGACGGAGAGAACAAACCTTCAGATCTTTCATTTCCAGAACAGGATAATTCTGAGGAGGATACTGAACGGTTGATCAAAGAATGGCAACGCAAAAATGAGAAATGCCAAATGGAAAGCTACTTGTTTCCCAAAGAGGAGGATGGAGACTCTAGCATGGGAGAAAGACTACATTCTGTAAATAATATAAGTGATACTGAGAGTGTGAGTAGCCAACAAATCAAGATCCTGAAACAACAACTGGAAGCAAGTGGCATCAACAGAACAAGGAGAGGGCGCACAGATTCTGTGTCTACAGAAAGTAGTTGGGATATGTGGAATGAGAGGATGATGGAGATAGAGAAAGAAGCTGCTCAGAGATATTGTTCCAGAAGTAAACATAGTAATGAGAAGCCAGAAAATGGAACAAAAGAAAGAGATGTGGATGAGGAAAGTATATTATCAGATGCTAGTTCCTTTTATAATTTTTGTCAAAAGAACAAAGATAAACTGACTGCTTTGGAAAGATGGAAGATCAAAAGAATCCAGTTTGGTTTTCACAAAAAAGACCAGGAAGGCTCTGAGCAACCCAAGGTTGAAGGTGGCAGCCAACAAGGTAACGATACTACAGAAGAGCAGAAGAACTTGTCAGATGTCAACCTAACAGCCTACCAAGCCTGGAAGGCTAAACACCAGAAGAAGGTGGGCAATGATAATAAGGATGAAATTGTGGAACTGGCTAAAGTTGAAGATTCTGCTTCTTCCAGGAGAAAACAGAGACGAATGGAGTTACTTGAGCATTCAAAGAAAGTTTTGGAGGAAAGCCAGTCTCTCTGCAGCTGGGAAGCAGATAGTGCAATGAGTGGAAGTATCCCATTGTCAGCCTTTTGGCCATCACCAGCTTCTGTAAATGGCACCGATGATTCTGCTTCAGCATTGAGCATGCAAACCAATCGCTCCTCTTTATCTCAGGCCAGAAGCAATTGTGGGGCCATGTCAGGGCATGCCCTAGGAGCAAGTATGCCCAATATCCCCCTTGGTCTAGACAACACAATATCAGTAGCCAGTATTCAAAACTGGATTGCCAATGTTGTTAGTGAAACTATTGCTCAGAAACAAAATGAGATCTTGATGTTGTCACGGCCTTCATCTGTACTGGCTTCTAGTGTTAAATCAGGTGATGCAGACAGATATCTGGATGATGACAAGACTTCTATGCTTAGTGCAAAGAGTGGCTTTTCTCTAGCTAATTCCTTGCTCCACAAGCAAGACGCACAGTATGCTGACACTCGATCCACCCTGTCTTGCGACACATCAATGAGTGGAAGGATGGAAGGATCCAGTTCAAGCAGGAGAGTGACACAAACAAGCAAGCCTCTTTTCAGTCTCTTTGCTGATGAAGTTGACCTGAAGAATCTTAGCAGAAAGGAAAAGAAGATGCAGCTGGAAATGAAAGAGAAGATGTCAGATTATCAGACTGAGAAGCTTATCAGCAACAATAAACGCAGCACTTTATTTAAGAAGAAGAAGATCAAGGGTGATGAGGATGGGGATGAGACAACAGGAAATGATACAGAAAGCATAATTGGTGGACTTAAGTTCCCTTTGCAAACAAATTTTGATCACACTGATACAGCTTCCACTTTCTCAGGTCAGTTTGCCAGTTATGGTGGTGCTATCAAATCAGAAGTGGAGAGCAATGTAAACAAGTGGCTTAAAGGTTTGAAGGCAGAAGAAAGGTCTTCATATCAGGATTGCTCTGACACTGGTGAAGAAAAATACAAAAGATCTTCCACCTTCAGAGAGGTCGACACTGAATCTTCTAGCTACAGGATTTCCAGATCTCAAAGAGAAGAAATGGATAGATTTTCAACATACCAGTGTAAAGATGATTTGCAAAGGGCATCATCACAATTTTCTTCCTCCAGTGTTAAAGAAGGCAAGGAAGCACGTACATTTACACGGTCAAAACTGAGTGAGTCAAGTTCCAGAGAAGAAAGTCCAGAACCAAATTTTTCCAGGAGAACCCCAGAGTCCTCCTACAGCTCAGAATCCTCAGAACCATCTGCACGGAGTAGGATCAGATCACGTCACTTGGAAGAACACGAGGAGGAGTCCAGTTCAGATGTGTCTGAGTTTGGAGCCAAAAGAAAGTTCACCCAGAGCTTTGCAAAGTCTGAGGAGAATGGAGAGAAAGAGGGAAGGGAAGAAAAAAGGGAAGAGTGCTTTTCATCGAGGCGTTCGTTTAGAAACAGACAAAGCACTCGTAAAGAAGAAGAAGAGGAAATGGATGATGATGCCATCATTGCCGCCTGGAGAAATCGGCAGGAAGAAACAAAGGCAAAGCTTCGACGAAAGAGGGAGGAGCAATAGAAAGCCATGTTATACCTGCTCTGTATTACTCCAGTTGAAGAAAAGCCTTGGGGGAAAAAAATCTCAAAAGACACATTTTAATCACTCTATTTTCCATCATCAGTTTCAGTTAAGAGAGTACCTTTTAGTCCTGCATATATTACCTTATTCTTTCTTTTCAGTCGTAGTGGCTTTCCCATTGTATATCAATAACATCCAGGTCTTTATGTATAGAAATATTTCAAGTGCTCTTTGAGAAAATGTATTTAGTCATAATAATAATCATCATCACCATCATCATCTTTATTTGTATTCCGCCCTGTCTCCCCAAGGGAACTCATCACACTAGAGAAAAAAGTCCACTTAAAATCCGGTTTCTGCCTCCTGCAGAATTCTGGAGTTTGTAGTTTAGTGAAGCTATTAAAGGCTCCTCCTTAAACTACAAACCCCAGAATTCTGCAAGAGGCAGAAACCAGATTTTAAGTGGATTTTTTCTCTAGTGTGATGAAGAGATCGGAGTGGATTTTGAAAATAAGTCAATGCTCACAAACATTTGTTTGAAATATGTAAATTATTATATTTTCTAAAATTATCAGAATTAGTTTATTATTTTATTTTAATTTAATTGGGATTAAAACTAGAACAATATAAACAACCTTTATTAGCAGGTTATAATGCAGCTCTTCTTATACCATCAGTGCCCTGATCCCATGTGGAAGGTATAACTGAACTTTTAATATTCTATTGCTTCAAAATCACAGAGCCTTTTCCATCTCCGGTGTGCATCAATATAAAGGAAACTACTGAGGGAATAAATGCAATGTTTGTTCCCATGACAACTTGTAACTGAGCAAAATATCAATCATCAGTCACATGGGGAGACTTTGTTTAAGAATTTTTACTTTGTTTGCTATATAAAGGAGACAATACCAGAGGAAAAAATTTACCTTTGGAGCAGAATTGTATTCCTAACCTTATAAAGCATATGCTATAACAGTTTGTATCACTTTTAAATGAAAGTGTGCCCAGGCTGCATTCTGGTATATTGGAAATAAAAGCACAGTGTAGAAAATGGAACAACTTAGCAGCAGCATTCTAGCAAAAGAAATCACAGTGTGTCTGTTTTCTTTGCGGTGGATAAATGGCAAGAAAATCTCATGGAAGGTTCCCTATGAGGGCTTCAAGAACAGACCATTTTCCTTGGTCTCACTAACAAAACCTGGCATTACTAAGTCTTTGCTAGTGGGTTAACTTACTCTTCCAGTCTAATAATAATAATAATAATAATAATAATAATAAGAAGAAGAAGAAGAAGAAGAAGAAGAAGAAGAAGAAGAAGTATTATTTGTTGTAGACCGCCCTATCTCCCTGAATGGACTCAGGGCAGTTTCCAACTTATATGGCAAACATTCAATGCCAATGAGAAAACATATAAATAAATCACATCTATATAAATAAAATGTAATGTTCGTTTGTGGGATTAGTATAATTCAAAAACTGCTGGACAAATTGACACCAAATTTGGACACAAGACACCTATCAGGCCAACGAGTGACCATCACTCATAAAAACACTGGAAAACACAGTGGAAGACACTTAAAAAGCAAAAAAACCCAACAACATTACAACGAATGCACAAAACCATATATTTACACATATATACATACATACACACACAAAACACATATACACAGACTGGGCCACAGCAATGTGTGGCAGGGGACGGCTACTTATCTATATAAATAAAAATGTAATGTTCGTTTGTGGGATTAACATAACTCAAAAACCACGGGACAAATTGGCATCCATACATCAATACACCTATCTGGCCAACAAGTGACCATCACTCATAAAAACACTGAAAAACACAGCAGAAGGGACTTGAAATGCCAAAAAAAGCAAAAAGATGCTACAGTGCATGCTCAAAAATGACTCTCCATGGCAAACAAAACGCACAATAGCATAGCCACACTCTCTTCCGGACGACAGCTCTCAGCATCCCCTAGATTAGGCACTTTAGGAGAGAAGGATGATCCAAATGTACTGCTTCCAGGCTGCAAGCTTTCTTCTCCTTGGTTTTCTTTGAGAACATCCAAATCCCTGCATATTTCCAATTTCCTATTCCTGGACTGCAACTCCCAGCAATCCTTCAGATAGATAGATTAGATAGAGGTAGGTAGGTAGATCAGGACTGCTGGGAGTTGCAGTCCAAGAATAGGTAGAGAAGGTAGAAAGGGGAGAAAGAGGAAGGAAAAGAAGGGGGGAGGAAAGGAAGGAAGGAAGGAAGGAAGGAAGAAAGAAAGAAAGAAAGAAAGAAAGAAAGAAAGAAAGAAAGAAAGAAAGAAAGAAAGAAAGAAAGAGAAAAAGGGACGACAGGTTGGCCACAGCAACGCGTGGCGGGTACAGCTAGTCTCAGATAAATTGTGAAGAGGAGTCAGTCCCAAAAGTGTTATAGACTTGCATTCCACTTACAACAGAATAATGTGGTAAGGAAACGGAGGACTCTTGAGCTGATAGAATGACTATAAATTATACACATATCAGAGGATGGAGAAAATCATTTGCCTAAATGCTCTCTTACACAAAGAATGTTCTGCAAAATAACAGAATGGAAAGTAATATCCCCTTCTAACATTTAACAGAGGAAGACTGTGTGCCCAAGAATTGTGTGATCAAGCTGGCAAAAGATATTAATGGGGAAAACAAACAAATTGGAGAGGCTGCATCAGTTTCCTCTCTTCCCCTCTCTACTTGCTGAGTTAATCAGATGCATGCTACAACTCAGTTTGCAGCTATTCAAGTCAGCTGGGGAAAAGTGGGAAAGCAGAGGATTAATCAGGATCGATGGAAGATATGATATCATATTTTTTTGTGATGTTGTAAATATATTTATTCATTTGCAGGAGATTTGGCCCACAGTGGAGAGTCATCAGAAACCGCCCTCCCATCCTATCCGTAACCTAAAGTATAATCCAATTTCAAAGCATGTAGAGCTGGTTCCAGGTTTGAGAGATCTTTCAACAAAGTGCTCCCTGATAGACGCCCTCCTGTCTGAGCTTGCTCCTGGCCACAGGTGTACCTGCTACCATTCCCCCCACCTGAAAATAAGACATTGTCTTATATTTATTTTTCCTCAAGGAGACACACTATGGCTTATTTTCAGGGGATGTCTTATTTTTATTAAGTATGGTACAACAATCTGCATTTATTCAAATATAGTGATGAGTAAAACGGCAGCCACAGCTTTACTTCTTTCCCCCGAGGACACACAATACCTAAAGCAGAGCGTCCTGCTCCTCACTTAACTGAAGAGACCTTTACTTTCATTTTATATTGATGGGGCTTCCTGCACCTCTCTGGTCACCTCTGAGATAGCAGCTGTCACGATGGGGCAGATGAGAAAGGCTGCTCATCTTATTTACCGCTCCACACTGGTACATTGCATAGCCACGCCTATCACTATGTCTTATTTTCGGGGTATGGCTTATATTGTGCAAACGCTTAGAAATCCTGCTATGGCTTATTTTATGGGTATGGCTTATTTTTAGGGATACAATCTAATAGCAGTGCATCGTTTGAACATTTATTTTAAGATTCTGCACAGTATTTTGCTGTCACATTGTGAAGCATATAAAATATCAGATTATCACCTCAGCCACTTGGCACAGAAAAGGAGTACATTCCAACTGTCCCAGATTGATAGGGATCGTCCCAGTTAATCCTTCACTGTCTCTTCTTTTCAAATACCCCAATACCTCTCTCCTCCCACTAGTATCCTCCTTTGTCCTCATCTTCCTTTCACTGCTGGAAATGGCACTAATAGTAGTTTGCACTCTGTTAGTGGAAGGGAGAGGAAAGGGTAGAGTCTTGCTGTTTTTTAGGAGGCTCCTTTATTTGTTTGAGTTTTTCAGGGTTTCCCTTCTCAGTACATAAATCCCAGTTTTACGTGCCTTGTCATGAATAACTTCCCTCCTTGTAGCCTTCCTGTTAACTTCTGACAGTATTCTAATGTTATTTATTATCATTATTTAAAACACAACAAGCTGAGTCCACAGCAAACAAGATCACTCTGCTGGCTGTTGCATTGGATCTCACATTGGACACTTACCAAGTGTCTAGGACTGTGTGATGTATCAGTGAATAATGTGTGCAAATCCCAGTAAGGTGGCCGTCTGCAGCTGGCAGATGGTAATTTTGTCAGCGTTGATTATGTTTAAGTGCACCCGGTATACTTATCACCACTGGGACCACCTTTACTGGTTTAGTAATATTTATTATTATTATTTGAAACACAAGATGAGTCCACAGCAGACACTCTGCTGGCTGTTGTCTTGGATCACACGTCGAACACTTCCCAAGTGTCTAGGACTGTGTGATGTATCGGCGAAAAATGGTGCAGATCCCAGTAAGGTGGCCTTCTGCAGCTGGCAGACGGTAATTTTGTCAGATGGTAATTGTGCCAGAGTCTTATAATATTTATTATTATTATTATTATAGAAGCCCCCGGTGGCGCCGTGGGTTAAACCCCTGTGCCGGCAGGACTGAAGACTGACAGGTCACAGGTTTGAATCCGGGAGAGCGCGGATGAGCTCCCTCTATCAGCTCCAGCTCCCCATGCGGGGACATGAGAGAAGCCTCCCACAAGGATGTTAAAACACCAAAAACATCCAGGCGTTCCCTGGGCAACGTCCTTGCAGACGGCCAATTCTCTCACACCAGAAGTGACTTGCAATTTCTCAAGTTGCTCCTGATATGACAAAAATATTATTATTATTATTATTATTATTATTATTATTATTATTATTTCAAACATTTGTATCCCGTCCTTCTCTCTCACACAAACCCCCCGGGGGGAGGGGGACTGAGAGCAACTGGCAACCATTAGATGTCAAACAAACAATTATAATAACAATTACAATTACAATTAAACCAATTAATTAAAAAGATCAGTTATAAACATTTAAAAACAAATCCAAATCCAAAGTTACACTCCGAAGTCTGTCCATTGTCAGTCACAAAGGTCATTCACATTATTATCACTGCATCTGCTGCTCGAATTTAAGTTTGGCCACATGTGTTCTGATTTTCATCTGAAATTTTGGAGGACAGAGGTCTGTGCAATGTCAATTGGTATGGCCTCCAGCAGCAGGCCAAAGGTGCCTGCAACAGTCCATTCCACTGTCCCAAGATATCATTGCGTCATTCTGCTTTAGGTATAGACCACTCCTGGGATCCAAATATAAAATCACTGTCACTCTTCCAAAAATGAAAATGATGTTTGGTTGTTTCCCCCTTCTAAATTGTGACCGGTGTTTGAGATTGCCAGCAGCTTTGGACTGAAGTGGATATATGGATATAATTATAGCAGTCCATCATTCGTGAAAGGAGAGGTTTGTTTTAAGGCAAAAGGGCATTTGCTTCTTTTTAAAATGGGCGTAGATGTTTCAGCCTCCACCTGCCCTTCACATGCTCCCATCTCCCTCTGCTCTCTTTGGAGAACAGGTTTGAGTCCATCTACTTTCATATTTTCAAACAAAATTCATGAAAGGGCCATAAATACCATGACTCGTTAAAAGGGAAGCTGTTTTCTCTTCCTCCCACGAGACCCCTTCCTGCGAGAGGGGAGAGAGAGTTCAGCCCTTTGAAGAATTCTCCTTCTGTTAATGTAGCTGGATCTGAAAGCTGTCTTCTGGGTTTTGTTCTTCACATCATCTTGACCAGGCTGTGCCATGGCTCTTCTCTCTGTTGCATCCTCAAATGTGAAGGAGGGTTGGAAACAGACAGGGAAAACAATTTAGTTTGCACTTTTTCAGGAGGTTGTACCTGATGCGATGAAATATCCATCTATCGATGAAAAACTTCGGGGGGGGGGGGGGGGGAGGTTCCTCACTACCTTTCCTAAGACAAAAAATTGAAACTGTTCGACCATATTCACCTGGCAATATACCAAATGCACAAAATGAAAGTTAGCAGACTCTGAGGCAATCAATTACCTGAGATATAATCCAGAAATGACATTTCTTTCTGAGTGGCCATGGTAAATGGTCTGCCCCTTATCATGGGTTTGTCTGAAAGATAAATCCTTGCAGGAACAGGCACAATCATGGC